AGCGACACTCATTTACAGTTTATCAGAAATAATACAGATCAGAGTAAATTTTAAACTCAGATACGTACGTAGCTGATTTTTGGATAACGATAATAAAAATTTTATATAATACTTTTTAAAAGTCGTATTGAAAAAACTTTTAGAAATTGATTGAAAAAAATTTTTCACGTGTTACAGTAATGCCTTTCATAATCAATTAACATTAGCATATATTTTATTTAATGCATTCGTGATATACAAAGCCACATAGTAATAAAATGCTAAAACTCATTTACTCATTTATCTTCTCATGTGATCATAATTAGGAATGTTATCCTTCTCCAACTGGTTAGTTTGTGTTTAAAAACTTATTAGAACACTGTTTCAAATTATACGTGAAACTGGTACCGAACTCGGTTTATACAAATGTACTAATAATTATGCTTGCTTGAACAAGTTAATAAACCTGCTTTGTTATCGCTATTAAATACAAAAATATACTAGATTTGAGCATACGGGGTTTAAATAAAATCACATGATCGTATAAACTCGAGTTTAACTAGTTCGGATTTCAAACAGGTCGAACATAGTTCGGACAAATAGGATAACACCTCTAATCATAATCACCTGATCTTCCAACAGTACTGTGCGCGTTATGCAATGTAAAATTAATCGCCAAAGTCGACTATATAAAAAATGAACTGTATAAAAAATGAATTATCAATAGCATACACGAAACATTAAGTTTTGACAACGAGTTAATGCTCAATTAATCATCTTTTTAACACTGCAGTTTCATAAATAATATTCAAAGCATTCCATCAAAAATCTTTTATCGCAATAGATTCATGATTAAAAAAACAAATAATTGAAAATCTTACTGCATTCAATAAAGTTTTTTGTTTACCTATTATGATTCTATTAATGACTTTATTTGACTAATAACTTTGGGTTTTAATGATCACAACCCCCTAACGTTAACACTAATTTAAAATTAAGACAAGTTTTAGTCATGTTACAACTAATCTTAATTGACTAGATTTGACTAGATTTGAACACTACATGGGATCATGTCCAATCGATTCCTTGCTAAAGAGCTTGGAATGTTGCCTTTCAAGATCTTCAGCTGCTTTTTTTAAGTAACATATATATTCAGCGGTCGGTTTTGCAGGAACGCCATCACTCTGTACGATAACTTCATTGATTTTGATACGATAATTTGTTAAAAAGTCATCAAATTCAATAAAACTACGATCAAAATCTTCTAGCATCTTTTTGATAAAGTTTACTTGATCAAGTTCTTCTTCAATCTCATGTATCGTAGGATTCGTGATATTAAACCATTTAGTAAGCCATTTACCAATTAAAGAAGATAACCACTGTTCTTTCAAAGAATTCTCAGCCTCACGTTTAACTTCAATCAGGTTCTTTCGTGTACTTATTGCATTTTTTTGAACATGATCAATCGCATAACCAACACGTTTGAATTGATCATGAAAATCATTTATCTGATCATCTAAAGATTTGAGGCGTTTATGAATAGAGATAGCAACTTCTTCATATAAACTTCGATCGTGTTTAGAGAAATGAAGTTTTTCAAATTCTTGAGCTATAGCTTTCACCTCTTCTATAAGAAGCCAAAAGAACCATTCAGCTTTATGTTGAAATTTTCGGAGTTCTTCAACTGTATTATGAATATTTTGGTCTAATTCTTCGAGATCTATCGAAATTGGTTTGGATTGGTCAATAATGACACGGCTTTTTTCCATGACGACTCTGAGATTACGAACAGCAAAACGAAGTTCGTTCAACTCATCAGCTGCTGAAAATTAAATGAATGAATTAATCAGTCAATTAAAATTACATTTTAAAAAAAAAAAAATTTGATTAATGATAACATTAATTAAAGGAATAAATGCCTGGAATTTTAGGTAAAGCAAACTTCTCAGAACTAATATTAGCCGTCTTTACAATCGAAACATCATCATTGGGATTAAAAGAGTTATTGGATTTAAAATATTGATTGGATTGAAAATTGTCATTAAGTTGAGAACCGTCATTAAGTTGAGAACCATCATTAAGTTGAGAACCGTCGTTAGGTTGAAAACGGTCATTGGTTTGAGAAACTTTATCATTAAATAATACCTAATAATAACGAATTTATTTATTTAAAAATCGATCAATTATTTTGATTCAAGAAATTGAGATCAATTAATCGGTTCTTACCTGAAAGCATAAAAAAATCAATCCAATCAAAGAAGTCAATACTAGCAAAATTTCAATTACTAGTAAAAATTTTCGACTAAAAGGATTCTCATTTAAAGTTGGACGATAGAATGAAGGATTATCATGAACTGGACGACGTTGTCTAATCGTAGAGGTACCTATTACATATTAAGGTACGTATTTCGGGTTTAAAGACGTCGCA